CTTTTTCTTTTTTTGAAATGCATTAAATGCCTTACCCAGAGCCCATTGAATTCCATGTGAGTTTTTTCTCCTGACTTCAATGGGCTTTGGTTCTGGCTTTTAGCTCTCATGAAAGGTCCTGAACTGTCTGTCCTAGGGTGACGAGAAGGTTGGGACAGACAATTACCGGAGCTCTTCCCAGCCCTTGGCACAGYCAGGTTGCTAAGGAGACTTGGCCTCTGGATAGGCCCCGGAGCTCACCCCTTCCGGGGTTATTGTCCCCTCGCCCTGCCAGAGCCCTCCAGGAGCAACAGTGCCACTTTTTCAGTCACAAAGTGCTCTACTTGGACCTCTAGCAGCTGCAAGTCCTGCCCTCTTGCATCCTCCTCCAGCTCGGAGCATGCAGCATCTSTTCCCTCCACGTAGCCCTGCTGCTCTCTCTGCTACCTTGGCATAAGATGATCAAATGGAAATAGATGCTCTACATTTGCAAGATGAGGGTCTTCAGTAGRACCTATATGTCCAGGGGGCTTAAACTTACAGAGACAATTCTCAGCACCGCCTGGTGAAGTAGCTCCAAGCTCTGATGGCGTCATCTCCAGAATACTCCTTCCATTTCCTTGTCTCTCCTTCATCTGTGACAGGATAAATTCTAATCGAACCCAACGTGTTGTGTGGGGTTTGGAGATTCCTGAGCAATTCCAGCCATAATGACATTTTTTTTTAGGAAACTTGTGAGATGAAGGCCCTGGATTCTTCCATCTTCCTTGGACTCTTTGCAGATTTTCTTCTTAGAGAAAAGTATTCTGTCCTGAGGATTTGACATTAACAGGTTAAATGACAGGTTCTTCTAAGCCATTGGCCATTTCTGTTTATCGGGTTTTTCTTCAGATGGTGAGTCTGTTTGTCAAGCAGAAATTTGAGAATCTTTATGGTGGTGTATGGCTTAGGTATTTGTAGCTGTGAATATGACCTGCACAAGAGTAGTCATCRGGGCTCTGCCTTTTGTAAATAATTAACCCTTCAAAAAGAGGTGTTCTTGATTGCATCAAAACAAGCAGGGTTCTTGCCTGCTTTTTAAGGCAGGCATCAGCACTTCCTATATACAGAGGATCAAGCTTGTTTCTTGCTGTAAAATATTACAGAAATTGGGGAGAACTAGAATAAAAATGAAACACAGTATCCTGAGATGTATACATATTTTTTGATTTTTGGCTCAACTACTTTCAAGTCAATATGCAGAAAACATACTTCCCTTTTAAAAATCCATTAAATATCTGCTAAACTAAGAAAGACTTTGTTTAAGAAATCAGGGCAAAACTATGCAATATCTTTTAGAACTGTTTGGTTCAATAAGYAACTAATATTTATGGGAATAAAAGCTATACTTCCTACCTTTTATGATATTTTATAGTGTTAGTGCACAGGATGGCTTGTGCATGGGGCGATTTTCTGTATTACAGCATATAGTAAGACTTGTTTTTGAAAACATGTTGTGTTAGCAGTGAGAGTGGACCACTCTAAAATGCCGAAGGTCAATTAGCAAAGTTTTATTTCTCAGGGGGCTGATTGAGCTCAGTGTGAAACACTGAAGGGCAATATTGAAATCAGTAGGGCTGCAGAGCTACAAGCTCAGTTCCCAAGTTGTTTCCTATCAAAATATTGCTGTCTGAGTGAACTAACTAAAGACATATATTGTCACTGTAGCTTAGTGTTTGTTCTGATAAGAATTGTTAAGTTATTTGAGGTAAATGTGTATTTTTAAATGCTTTTCAGAAAGGCTGTTCATGGTGAAGTTAGTTTCAACAACTTTCTTTGAAGGTATTATTTTGAAGACAGCTTTGACTCCTTTGCCAGGCTTCCATTTAAAAAAAAAAAAAAAAAAACCAGAAACAAAAAGAAAATAAAATTTCCTGCTAATGTTTGTGGAGCCAGTTGTCTGAGTGATGATGGCAGCTTGCAAATGTAAGGCTTGCTATTTAAGCATCAATACTGATGTGAGATTTATGAATATGGTTTGTGAGAAGCAAAGTTCTTAAATGTGTGTAGTTYGCAGAGAATTAGAGAAGACAGCATAAACATCTTGAAATGAGTGTTTTCATGAAGTGGTATTGTATGGACTATACTTATTGGTCATTTTTAGTAAGGGCAAGTTTCTCCATTCTGTTCTATTTTCCACACAATATATTGGATTAATTTCCTGTGGTCCTAGACTTGTCCTAGGTTTGTCTTGCAGCCCTGCTGAATATGCACGAGGATGCAAAGTTCTGCTTCTCTACTGCTTGCTTGTGTGGGCCTAGGAGTACTGCCTTCTGCTGAAATGAAGGAGTTGAATAAATACTGATCATTTCTCCATATGTTAGGGGGTAACTAATGTTTGTTTTTAATACATTGACCCCTAAAGTAGAAATTTCATAATTATCTTACACATTTATATTTATTCTATATTTACACATACACACACACACACACACACACGCACATGCTATTTAATTCTTTAAGGAAGTTGAGGCCAAGAGGGTAAGAACTTTGCCTTTGCTGCTTTACTTGGCCTTTTCTTTTCGGTAGGGGAAAGGTTTGACAGTCATCAATAAAAGATTAAATCATTGATGTCTGTCGGGATAAACTAAGCACATTTTGTGTGTTATGCTGGCATAGTAGGAACTTTTCCAAGATGTTTCAGGCCTCATTCTCTGGTTTGTTTAAGGGCAGAGAGTAAGGTCACAAAGGAAATCAAACCCTGATGTGGAGAAATGAAACATGAGGCCTACTGACTTCTAAAAAACATTTTAAATAACATTCTCTAAGGTTTCATTTTATACTGAAGGCAGCTGTAATAAGTTTTGGAAGATGGTGTAAGGTTTCTATTAAAGGGAGATTTTGCTTGCTGTTTTTGTACCCAAATGAAGGAGTGAGAGAGATGGAGTTAGAGCTTAGTTAGTGTAAGGTGAGAAACTTTTAAAAGTTCTCTCCAGAACTATAAAATAGTAATTTAGACATTCTACTGTAATTTAAAAATTAAAAAAATAGTAAACTGTTCCTAGATCCTTTGAAAAGGACATACATTGCTGTGGAATAATTTAATAACTGCTACACAAATGCACTTTTGCCACAAGTAAAGTAAGACTGCTGCTTTGTAGTATGCTGCCAGTATTGCCGCAGTGAATTAATTCCCAGTAGATGTTTGCCGCATGCCAAATATATTGGACTGTATGAAAGATCCCATTGTTCCGTGGGCATCATTATTTGCTATTACAGTCGCAATGTTTGCTTGTGAAACAGTTTATTGGAAACTAGTATGTTTAAGAAGGAGCACTTGACTTGAAATTCAGTCGATTTGGCTTATAATGTCCAAGCTTTAACAGTGTGCAGCCTCTGATAATAAATATTTAGGTCCACTGTTTTTTACTTGCCTGTGAAAGAATTCTCGGTGTGGAGGAGAATGGGCAGCTCTGGTAGGGAATGAGTGATGGACCTTTCCTTTGGCTTTAACATTAGATTTTTCAGCCTTAACTTTGAACTCTAAGACACACATGGAAGCATCCAAGTGACAAGGTTTTTGTGATATACAGATATASAGGAGCAACTTCTTTACTGTTAGRGTGACAGAGCAGTGGAACAGGCTGCCCAGGGAGGTTGTGGAGTCTCCTACTCTGGAGGTCTTCAAAACCCGCCTGGATGCCRCCCTGTGCCACATGCTCTAGGTGTGCCTGCTTGAGCAGGAAGGTTGGACTAGATGATCTSTAGAGGTCCCTTCCAACCTTAAATATTCTGTGAATCTGTGAGATGTCCATAAGAAAAGCTGCTGGTGTTCCTCTTGAAGGAAAGGGCAGAGTTAAGTTTTGGGAAAGGAGGTGGCAAACTCCCAGAGTGATGAAGAAAGCAGCAGCTCTCCAAAGGCTTCTGGGGATGGTGGCATTGCCCAGCCTATGCAGTAGAGTCTTTGCTTAYTTGGGGGTTCATTTTGAGGTCTTTCCTTAGGAGATGTTGGGATGAAATGTATTATTTTTTTGCCCACTTTTGCTATCTGGCAAAACACGTCTGCTGGAGGCCCTGGCAGCCTGGGAGCTGAGGTCATTTGCTGCTCACCATCCCTAAGGTCTTAGCAGCTTCTAGATGAGGCTGTGTGAGCACAGAAAGCTGCAGCGCTGTCATAGCCGGGGCAGCGTTCCCATCACTTCCAGCACACGCAGCTCATGTTTTGCGCAAAGATGTTTATCGTATCCGCGAAGCTGGGCAGGGAGCACCGACTGGAGCGGCTCTTCGGGTACCCAGATGACACAGGATACACTTGGTATGTTCAGTGTCATAAGCTTGAGCAATCACGCTCAATAAATACGTAGCCAAGCCTACGGACTGCAAAGCCTTATCGGGTCATGTTGAATACGCTGCGGTTTCTYGGAGAACTCGGTGTTTCCTTGCGTCATGCTCAGAGTAAGAACAAACTGGGATCTCTGTTGCTGTGTCGAGGTGACAGGAGAGAGCAGCTCACTCCGTAATAACCATGAGAGCGTCCAGAAAAGCTGCCTGGAACGTGTCTCGCGTAAGGATATTTAGGGACAGTGCTTTGGCCTTTCATTGTGTGAGAATCCTTTGGGTTTATTTTAATACMTTATTAATTCATTTTAAAAACGGATTAATCTTTCCAATTTGTGGGGGTTTAACCCAATTAGAATGTTTCAGAAGTCAAAGGCACTTGTTATAATGAACACTTCAAAATATATACTTTCTCAGTAACTCTTAAGTGATTAAACTATCAAATGCTTAAAGTTTTTTTCTCCCCTGCCCCCGAATAGCTATTCTTCATATTACAAGTGTAGTGCTCAAGTCATCTCCTTTGAACTGCAGTTTTTGTTATACGTTTTGGCTGCAGTGTTATTTCGGAGGAGTCAGCCAACAGGCTTACAGGGCTTTTTGGCTCGGGTTCACATACAGTTTTCTTGGCAGCTCCGCTTATTTATGCATCTTTATTTCCCTCTCTCTCCTTCCCTTCTTCTCCCTCACCCTCCCCATCTSAACAGAGCGATCTCCGCACAGACCAATCCTCCAGGCTGGTCTCCCCGCAAACGCCTCCACAGTGGTCGGCGGTGACGTGGAGTTTGTCTGCAAAGTCTACAGCGATGCCCAGCCTCACATCCAGTGGATAAAACATGTAGAGAAGAATGGCAGTAAATATGGACCAGATGGGTTGCCCTATCTTCAGGTTTTAAAGGTGAGGCCTTACAGATGCTGATGCTGGTGATGGTTTCTTTGAAGCGTTGAGTTTATTTGATGCAAATCCAAGTATTTGGAGATGAGGACTTCTTTCCCAAATGGAAGTGTTTGTGTTACAAATGAAATAAAACACCAGGCAAACATTTGGTAGCTAAATACTTATTTTGCAGCTCATAGGCACTCTTTTGGTGTTCTGTGCTTCCGCAGAATTGCATATCTGTAACTGTTTCAAGCATGATTTATTTAAAAAAAAAAGTCTTAAAGCACGTCATTGACATGTATTGATAGGGCATGTCCAAAAATACCCAGACGAATTTACTCCATTTCTCTTGCATTTCTTCAACATCTTTATTTCAAAGGCCATTCAGTAATGTAACTCCCGCTACCAAAGCTTGGTGGTGGGACCACCAAGGTCCTGCACCTGCAAAGATGTCTTTAGGTCCTGCACCTGCAAAGATGTCCGTTTTTCATCAACTTGATGCAGCATCTCAGTTGCACCAGGTTGTTCTTTACTGGCAGGTGTCCTAAGCAAGCTCATTCAAGGAAATTCTTCACCGTGAAGTTTTCCAAGTTGGTTGGTGTTGCCCAGCTCCAACTCCAGAGTGTTGGTGGTCGGGACAGACAGCTCTCTACCATATCATTCTACATAGCTGGTTTCCCAGTTCGGATGCTGCTTCTCCTCTCCCCTTTTCTACCTTCTCATGTGAAACTTCTGATTTAAAAAACCCCAAGCTCAATGTTTTGACGCTGTATTACTTGCATGAAATGGAAGACGTATTCTTATGACGGTGTTGGTGGTGGGACCGTAGACAGATTGATGTCCATTTTGGGCAGCAGTTACATTGTTCTCCTGTGTTATTGGTCTATTCTAGCATTCGGGGATAAATAGTTCCAATGCTGAAGTGCTGACACTGTACAATGTGACAGAGGCGGACGCTGGAGAATATATTTGTAAGGTCTCCAATTATATAGGGGAGGCCAACCAGTCTGCCTGGCTCTCTGTTCTGCCGAGTATACAAGGTAACAATGTTTTTTAAAGAAAGCTGGATGTAGAAGCTGGAGAAAATGGTGCTTTGGGAGACTGCAGGCAGCTTGTAGGATAACTCTTTGGCCTTGTGGTATATTTGTAATCCTCCTCTGGTGATGCAACTGGTGTTACACCAGCCGCCATGGAAAAATTCCCACAATATTCTGTGTGCATCGTAAACAGTGTSTCAATGTTTTCTTTGTTCTCTCCTGTATTTGGTGTCTGTGTGTGTTTATGTTCAGGTATGTTGTTAATTCTGCACACTTCACAATTCATATAAGGTATTCAYTGAACAACCTAATTAAGATCTAATTAGTGTGTATATTTTTATGTACACATACGTCCATATATATATACACACACATGCACACTTACATACGTGAAATGTTCATATAAGCAGCCACTGGTCAATTTAGTAACTTAAAACTTCCTACATCTCCTGAAACTGTGCAAGGTGCCTGTCTTTCTCCACTGTGTTCACCCATTACTGTGGGTAAAAGCCCGCAGTACTGCTGAATTCTGGCAAWAATGCAAGTGGCTCAATATAAATATGATTATTCCCCCATAATGTATTTCAAAGTAGTGTTTTTGAATGGAGTAGAGACAAAGGGAGGAAAAAAAATCCTCTCCATTCTCTCCCTTTAAAATATTTTCTTTTAAATCTCCATGATAGAGTACTTGGTGCTTATGCCCTATTGTGCCTGTCCTGGGACAGCTGGAAAGTTTCAGGTCTAAAAGGCTCTTAAATGTACTTTTCTGTAAAAGTTTGGATAATCGCTGATACGGTGATTATTTGCTGCACAATCGCTTGTCAAGCCAGAGATTTAGCAAGCAAAGAAGCCAGGAAAAAAAAAAATCCGTTTTTAACTTTTTTTTTTTTTAGTATTCTAAGATTTAGAAAAGCATATATTTCCCTCTCCTTGTTTTGAACCTCTGTGGTCCAGCTTTTTGCCACATCTGCGATGGCCACAAATGGTCTTCTTTAAAAGAGAATTCAGATTCCTACCTGGCAATGTGACTCTCCCCYGTGCTTCCAAGCAAGCCATCAAATATTATCAGACTTGGGATCAAACTGTGAGATTTGGCAGGACTGCACAGAGTAGAGTATTCAAGTGCAGTGCAGAGGATGATGGAAGGGCTGCAGGCTGCTTGAGCCAGCTACTAAGTTGTGTCTTTTGGAGCAGAATCTGCCTTTTTATTTCACCCTCTCAGAATATATTTTCAAAGCGAATTCTTTTCTCTTGAACAGGTAACTACATGTGAAGGATACCACATTCTGTCCTACTTTGTTTTCTCTTTGTTCCTCTCTCAACGTTCTTGTATTAAAAAAAGAAGGAAAAAAAGCTTTGTGGGTTAATTTTTCCATGCCATTTGATTGCATGCATGTTTAGGTGGTGAGTTTAAGTCCGGTGAAGGGTGTTGATTACTTTCTGAGGTGAGCTGGGACCTGTTGGTAACTGGCTTTTGGATGAGGGATTGTGGATGGGGAAGGAGCTTTGCATCTCTCCGCCTCTGTCCTTCCAAAGTGCAAAGCCCTGTGGCTCCATCTCCCTATCCACAAGGATTCTCTCAGTGTCTAGCTTTTTCTCTTGCTTCCCTCTCTTTTTTTTCTAGGCTGCCGGTGTTAACACCACGGACAAAGAAATTGAGGTTCTCTATATACGGAATGTAACTTTTGAGGATGCTGGGGAGTATACATGCTTGGCGGGTAATTCTATTGGGATATCCTTTCACACTGCATGGTTGACAGTTCTGCCAGGTATACACTGCTCTCTTTCAGTGGTTTTTCCTCTTTTTTTTCCCCTTTATTGATTGCTGCAGGGGTAGCACAGCTTCTGTCTCAGAGAAAATGACTTTTGACTTCTTCAGCATTTTTTTACAATGATTGTTTTTTTAAAAAAATGGTTGTCTCAAGCCAGCAAATGCCATATATTCTTGAATACAACTACAAAAAGAAAAAACTGAAACAAGTGGCTTGGCTATGGTACTTAATTTAAAATGTTTTTACCTCTCGTTGAATGTTCATCAGAAATGCTAAGGAGTGCACTTCCTTAGCATTGAGATAGCTGAAAGTCCGCACAATAATCATTGTAAACTGTTTGCTGAAGAGAAAATTCAAATTTTCTTAGGGATTTGAAGACCAATTGGCCACCATCGTTCCTAAACTCACTTTTAAATTTGTTTTAACCTATTMTCCAAATCTGTTATGAAAGCTCTAGTTTTATTGCCAAATGGTTGTGTGCAGAAGCAGTGCGTTCCATACCTTGGGAATCGGCTCCGTGCATCTTTAAACATTGCATGTTCTAAGAAAGCAAGTAGTCATTCGCTTTTGCTGCAAAGCATGTCCTGCTGTACCGTGSTTGATGATGTTTCTGTCTTTAAAAGAAACAAACATCAATGTGCTTTATTGCCTGAAAATTGTTATCAGCTGTTAGAAGATGTAACCGTAGTTGATTCTGACATTAGTTAAATTGTCTCATTTATTACTGTTGGCTCTAATGCAGCTGCCTTGGGAGTTCCTTTGGAAAAATGTGAATAACCTGAGGTTTGCTGGGTCACCTTATGCTTACCATTTATTAATTGTTAATCCCAARTAAAAGGTACAAAACCTGCATGTGCATATTGCTGAGGTTTGTGAGATGTGATGAAAATGTTCCCACTTTCCACAGATAATTTCTTAGCGTTTATTAACATGTATTGAACAAGATAACATTATTACATCTCACTTTGTGAGAACTAAGTCTGCATGATTTGTCACCAAGCAAGCAGACAGCACCGATGTAGAGCTTGCTTCTGCTAGCAGGGTTTGCATTTTCAAGTGCTGGAAGAGCACATTTTAACCAATTTTCTTGAATGAAATATTTTTTTAAACCTAAAATGAGGCACAAGGAAATTTCAGCTTGAATGTGCATTGCTTGTAGGGTGACCGCTGATTGCTATGGAATGCTCTTTATCCGGGGGGTGAATTCCGGATAAAGGATTAGGGACCGGGTTTGTGCATATAACTGTCTTGAAGATAATTTCAAAATGGTTTCAATCAGAGTAACAGCTCGGTAGAAACACTCCTTCTAAAATCTAATCTTGTAAACTAGTAACCACAGATGGAGCTTACTTAAAATATACAGCCTTAGTATGGCAGGTAATACATTAAAAAGTGTTGTTGGCAATTCAGCTCTTGGATTTTTCTTTTTAATCTGACTCTGGCTCCCTCAAAGAACCTCAGGGGAATTYGGCACCCAGCATGAACTGACAGGAGTCTGGGCAGATTCTTGGAAGCTTCTTGAAAGGCCTAGCCTGGGTTTAGTAGCACTTTGAGAAGGAAAGCATCCTCCTTTCCTTCTGTACTTCAAGATTCAGTGGAAATTTGGCTATACAAGCAATGCAGATTCCAGCACAAACTTCCATTTATGAGTTTAGAGACTATCCTTTTAGGCTACCTAATTGAACATTTTGTCTTCAAATGTGTCTTTAATGTGGCTAAAAGGARTTACAATGCTTGTGAAAATTATTTGGAGTTTGATTTTACTAGCAAAATGAATCTCGTTTGAACACTGTAGTCCTTGTTTTCCCTAAAGTTATATTTGAACACACCATATTGCTGCTATGTATATATATTTACCTAAGCAAGCTGACACGTGTTTATGTTTGTATATGTACATGTACAAACACATATAGACACACCTATGCAGTGGCAAAAGAAAAAATTATAACAGTGATCAGGCACGAGGAATTACTGGCAGGTTGCAAGATGACCTAAATATCTGCAATAGTCCATATGTCTCAAAGGCACTGCAAAAATTACCTGTCGTTTTATCATTTCTTGTTGCTCCAAGCACTGTACTGAGCATCCTTGCCCTGTGTCCTAACTCTGTGGCATGATTGTTCCCTCCTAAAAACTTCCAATCCAGCTCCTGAAAAAGAGAAGGAATATCCGGCATCTCCAGACTACCTGGAAATAGCAATTTACTGCATAGGGGTCTTCTTAATCGCCTGCATGGTGCTGACGGTCATCCTGTGCCGCATGAAGAACACCACCAAGAAGCCCGATTTCAGCAGCCAGCCTGCTGTGCACAAGCTGACTAAGCGAATCCCTCTGCGCAGACAGGTAACAGAAAGTAGATAAAGAGTTTAAAAGACTTTTACCAAACCTCCAAGCCAGCAAGTCCTTGTGTTGAGAGCTTTGATAGGGGCTTAAGGGAGCGCTTAACCAAATTGCTGTAAGGGGTGGGTTTAATCTGCCGCCTAGGAGGCTRGAAGGGGAGGACGGGTAACCCTCAAGCGTGTGTCTTAAGGCAAGAAAACCAGGGTGGGGATGTTGGAAGAGAAATGTAAAATTGTAATATGTTCTATATTAGCGGTCTATAGATGGAAAAAAATGCATTTCAAGCATTTAGGGGCCTGATCCCGCAGCTCATTGAAGTCGATGGAAAACTTCTTACTGACTTAAGTGAACTTTGGAACAGAATCGTATATAATTGTATATTTACCATGTTTCTAAGGTGACTATTACTGTAGTAACTAGGTACCAGATACAGAGGGGTAATTTTCAGGAAGATTTTTTTTTTTTTTTTGAAGACTTAAGGGAAGGGACATTCATACTGAAGCATCCAAAAACCACCTCAAAATAGAAAAGGACTGAAAGGACCGTAATGAAATGAAAACAGGAGCGATGCTAAAGCAGAACTAGGACAGTTTGATTAAGATGCCGATGTTTCTGAGGGAGTAACAAAAGCAAATGTCCGATTTGAAATGCACAAAAGAATGTTGCATGAGGCATATTTTGCAATTTTCCCTGGCAATAAGAGTTTCTGGAGAGGGCAACGCGAGGAGCAGCAAACCAGTTCAACGAGAAACAGGCCTTTGGCTTTGTCATGGGTCATCACTTGCCAAAGCTGCCCAGATTCCCACATATTATCGTCTCCTGAAAGACTTGTTCCTTTTGAAGCTGCAGTTTAATATGTTTTGCYTATTCTGCAATAGGTCTTCAGAATAGACCTCTAAACCCACAAAATCCACACCCAAATTTTCAACGCTATAGGATTCCGCGGGGAGGAGTCTGAATTTGAGCCTTTGGTTCACCTCATTATGAGAAATAGGGACCATCTGCAGAACACGAGTCGAAACTTTGGTCAGGGGAGTTTGGATCTGGGACTTCAGTTCAGTTCCATCTCTAGCATTAATACTTTATGCAGGATTTCTGCAGATTGTTTTTAAATTAAAAATAAGTCTTCAGTGTAGGTAAGAGTTTGAAAGGTTAGACACATATTTGCACAGAGTCAGAAATCCCTCTATTAATGCTTTAGCCATTTTTTTGAGTTTCTATAAGTCYTGAGGTGAAGGGCATGAACTTTGTTCTCAAAAATATTTGGTTTATTTTGTGAGAAAAAAAATGCTAATTCTTATGTTGTGTGACTTTTCCCACATACGCTCTCTGGGTTTTGTATGTTTACACAGTGTTTTCATTAACTTGATAATTACTGGGGAGGAGAGCTGCCTTTGAGGATATCAGAAGGAGCTACGAGAAGCCCTCAGCTCAATTTACACGTATCTCTCTGCCTGCAGTTCTGTATGTAGCCACCTTTGTGCAGATTTGAAAATACTATACACTTACACAGAGGAGGAGAAAAAGAGAGAGAGAGAGGCACAGAAAATATAGCTGCTCACATAAAAGATAGTTATTAGATTTCTGCCTCAATTTAAAAGCATCMTAATGTCCCAAAGATGAGTTGATGCCAGAAAAAATACTGAGGAGACCTTTGACCATCTTTGTTATCCAAGTTTCTAGATTGTGGTGTGAGCTCGGTTGTGTCAGTTGGAAATGGATCCTTGAGGGGATGGTGTTACTTCATTGCATGTGACTTCAGTGCCAACCACTGCCCTCAGTTTAGTTATTTATCATTAAATGATGCAATATGGAACTTCTCCAAAGCCATTGTTTTCACAGAGGAAAAATCTCTGTCTTACAACATGCTTGTCAAATCGGTTTTTATCAGTTTTGTTTTGTGTTTTCAAAGCAAAAATGTCATTTTGCTTTTAAAAGTGGGAATATTTCTTTGGAAAGCAATAAACTCATGAAAGCGAGAATCTTATTTCAAGCCCCAAGCAAAAATTCCACTAATCTCAATTCTCCTGAGCACTTTTATATTAGCACAAGTTTCTCATTCAAGGGCTCCCTGCTCTCATGGGTTCATATAGGAAAATAGCAACTGTAAGTTTGTAAGGAAATCTGTATTTCTGATTTGGTGGCTACGTTGGCCATTTCACCCATTGTTATATTAGATTACAGGAGGTGGAACATGCTCCGTTGCCTCTGCGCTGCATGGGGAGGAGTAGAAAGAGTGGCCAAGCTGTAAAGGGGGTAGGTGAGAATGAGCAGGAGAAATGCTCATGCCAGGTCCCTTGTGTGAACACAGAGGAGAAGCAGGGTCAGGTAGCCTAATTTGTTGGGATTCCAGTGAAATGAGACCATATATTGGGGAATTCTTGATATTGTTTTTGAAGCGCTTTGCTCTTAGGTCAAATTCCCCAAGGATCTGGATATCAAAATAATCCTGGCGCAAGAAGAGGCATTTGCATGACTGCCATGCCATCTTGTCTAAGTGGGATAAGAGTCTTGCTGAGTAACATATGGTTTAGTTTGCAGCCCTGGATTCTCATACATTGACTATTTAGTCTGAGCTACTACAGAATTTTATCATTCCCCACATGCAGGCATTTTTTTCCTGCCAAAATGCGGTTCTTTTAGCATTCATAGGAAGGGTCACGATGAAGTCAGGAATGATCTGTTCCCTCCCCCTACAATCCTCAGCCTCAGTGGGATCTAGGACTTGATTTTAGAAATGGGAACTGCTCACAGGGAAATCCAGCAAGCCATTTTTCTTCTTTTTATAAAAGTATTAATTTATATCTATTGTAAGTGTAAAGGTTAATAGGAAGTTTTAATAGGATGTGTTGCAAGGTGTTTGCTTTCATATGCATTTTAGTCTCTTGCYTTATTCTTGGGTTTCTCTGTACAGAAACTTTTGACTTGCTTAGTGGTGTTTGTTATATTTTGTTATGTTTAAATGTTCTGGAAGAAATTCTTCATGGGACTCTGTATTTTAAATGCTAATCTTTGATTTCAGGTAATGAATTTACCGTAAATATTTTTAGGTACAGTCACTCAATGGGCAGCTTCTGTTAGGCTTTATGTCAACATCAATTACATTCCTGACTAATTGTTCCTCTCTCTCTCTATATATATATATGTATATATACATATATATATATATATATATATATGCATATGCCTCCAAATGAACTTTTACAGCACAGCCTTCAAAAAAAACTGACAGTTGTAGGAAATCACTGCATGGCTGCTAAAATCTCACAGCACGAGTGCCAGGAGTGACAGATCTGAGCTTCAGGATATGGTATAAATCATAAATGAAGGAGAACACCCTTCATAATCAATTACAGACAATTACATGCTGTTCTGCAGCTGATTTTGCCACATGGCACTTAAAGACTCCAGCAAAGATTCATTTAAGTTTTGAATGTCCCACTGCTTAGAAGTTGTCACATAAAACTTGTAAGGCATTATCTCAAAGCTGAGTGAATACGGTGTCTTGGCCAAAGGACAAGCTTAGCTAAGATGGGGATGTCACAGCGCTTTGGGACCTCACATCTGGAGGTAACAGGCTTTTCTCCTTCGGAAACTCAGTATGGCCTTCACTGTGCCTGTTTCCTATAAAACTTAATAAATTAAATTAAAATTAAARTTAAATTAAAAAATAATAATTTAATAAATCTTTATGTAGTGGAAACCAAAAAGAAATTTGCCTATGTGACTGCACTCTGCAGTGCTGTGTCCTTTGCAGGAGCGGAACTGTTTCTTGAACCTGTATATTCATAGCAATTCTGCACATGAGAAAGGAAAAGGAGCAATCTGGAAAAAGGCTTTCTACTTTCTATTACATTGATGCAGACAGAGCATATAGTTGACCACCCTTGAAGTCTACTGATCTTTGCATATAGGGAGCCTTCCTCATYGTTTTATAGTGCATTAAACCTGCGAGAAAAAGATTCTTGAGGCCTGAGTTCAAGCGTTAATTCTTTACTCTTTCAGAAAAGAGGAAAGGCCATTTAAAAGTAGAAAGTCTTCTCCAAAAGTCTTTTTTTTGGAGCACGTTATTATGACACACTTGCCATGCAGTTCTGAAAGCTTCAGCAAGAGGGTCCCCCTCTATAGARTGGACTCTATAGACTCCAGCATCTCTCAGGACTCAGTTCAATATTCATTTACTACTTTATTTGGGGTTACATAGTCTGTATAAACAGCAATTTTCTGTTTGTGTTGCAAGCAGTTACCATATTTATCATCCCCATTGTGCCTGGTACTTCCCTGAAAATAAATGCTGGCTCAGGTGATGGTAGGATGGGTGAGGATGAAGGTGTCCCATCTTTCTTACTGGAGTGGTTGGCCTTGTATGAGCAAGGCATGAGGAAGGAGGGAAGGTCTGTTGTTTGGCTGCAAAACTGGTTACTAAGTTTAATGTTTTGAAAGTTTGAATGTTTTGAGTCCTTTATACCTTCTTCCTTATGAAGTCTCTTTCCATTCGTAGTCTGGTCTTGGAAAAATGTGTGAAGAAGCCAAGCTTTTTTGATGTCATGTTAAAAACTTGAGTATCTTTCTCTGGGAAAAAAAAAAAAAAAAAAAAAAAGACTTTTGCAGCAAAACCTACTGTTTAAGGTCATGAAAAAACTGAGGCTGCAGCTTTGGGAAGGGTCCGGGCCATGCTAGGTGACACGGACATCCTGCCAACTGATGGAGGACTTGGACTGAGGACGGCGAGAGGACCTTTGGGCTGCCCAGGCTACCTGGTACAGGCCTGGCACAAAGGCTGTCGCAACCTGAAGAGAGAAGGAGGATTCCCACTTACAAGAGGGGACAGAGTGGCAATAAATTCACTTTTGTTTTGTTTTCATATTCCCTTGAAATGTGGAGATTGAAGGACAGCAGGTTGCTGTTTGCAGGTTTGAGGGAAGTACTTTATGGAGAAATACCAAAGTCATTTTTTGGATTTTTTTTTTTTTTTGGCTTGGATGTGATGGCTGATGCCTCTATTTTCATAGCAATTGTCATTAAATATTAAGTTGATGTTCAAAGGAAAATGCACTGATGTTGGAGTTGTTGAGAAATCCTATTCCAAAAATTTGAAATGGAGGAAATGAGATTATTTTTATGAACTCTTTCCACGTTGCATTTAGAATCTTTATTTAACAGTATAGTTAGTGGAATTTTTTTTAAGTATCTCCAAACTAATGTTAACTATCTAACTTTAGATACTTTTGATGTTAAGCATTTAAAAATATGTGAGAGGACCCTACAGCCTTCTTGGCAGTTTACCTGGGATCAGTATTGTGCTGAAGAGAGGGTAAACACACTAGAACAGTTCATTAGAAGACTGAGGTTTCAGCCACTCTTTTTCCTTAAACCCCTGATAGCAGCTGGCTCAGCTATCACGTGCTGCTGTTTTCGGCTACTGGATGAAGGTTACATGTCCCCCTTTTTCTGCATCTTGTATTGCAATCACAGGTGTCGGCCGACTCGAGCTCCTCCATGAATTCCAACACGCCGCTGGTGAGGATAACTACCCGTCTGTCCTCCACAGCTGATGCCCCCATGCTGGCAGGAGTCTCGGAATATGAATTGCCAGAAGACCCAAAATGGGAGTTTCCACGAGATAAGTATGTAGTCCGTTTCTCTTAATACTGCCCACGTGCATTTGAAAAACGTGACGCAGAATGAAGAAGCTTCTTTCCAAGTATCTCCCAGGTTTTCTTTAGCTAAAAGAAAATCCAGGTAACCTGAATCTTCTCAGAAGGTCAAGAGTCAATCAGTTCCGTTATCTGAGTRCAGTTTGTTTTAATAGGAACTGGTTTTTCTTTGCCTGACACTGAGATTTATTTTCAGATTTCTTGTAGATTTTCAGATACCCTGGTGAAATGTAACTTCTCAGTTAGTAAAGACATAAATCTGAAACTTTATTCCAAATGTAGATGATATAACCAAGAACAGATACCAGCACACATGCATTGTTGAAGGACAGTCAACATTTGRCCATCATATATTGATGCTTCTTAATGATTGCTATGGTTAATGTTTGAAAAATAGGTAATATAGTGCCATGTTGGAAATCAAAGAAATCTAGACCATGGTATGACACGATCTTGTTCTTACGCCTGAAACTTACAGTATTGTCTTTGTGTTGGTCTGTGTTAATGGAAATAATTTTTGATTTATTGGAACATTTTGCTCATCGTATGCATCTATGTATAAGACCTCTCTGCTTACTTGAAAACCTAGTAGTTTTCAAGCAGAGCTTTGTGAATTCTTCTGTATTCAGAACTATGTAGCTAAATAATATTTTCTTCAAAGYCTGTTGAATAACATGCAAAATGAACTTCAGAGTAGGCTCACCAAAACCTTAACTATATTTTTTCATGTAACATGAGTATGTAAGAGAGGTAATGTAAGACTGGTAGAAACATGAATATGTACTGAAGTTAATACTAGTTTTAAGAAATCTTTAGGTGGTTTTTAAAACATAACACATTCTATCATGAACAATTTTCCTTGAAAACTCATCCATAACTCTTAGGTGGAGGAGCTGTAATTTTGAGCCTTCTGACAACTGTTCTGGAAATTATTTAATTATGTAGCTGAAAACTGGTGCAAAATGCTGTAATTGCCACCTGCAGTATAGTCAACAGTGGGGGCCTGTGTACACACTCTTGTCAGCCCATACCCTAGGGGGATACACTAAATGTGGAAAATTTTAGAGTGCTAAACATTTAAAACCAACATTGAGCACAAATGTAGGTGGAGCAGATTTCCAATGAAAGGAGGCTATTTAGAGGCGGTTTATTAGGTTGGGGGGCCGGAGGCACACAATGAGGGGTTTGTTACTTTCGGCCTAGCAGGGCAATAGCACATAAATTAAGCAGTTTCCAATGCAAATGTTTGTCCTCTGCCAAGATCCTAAATTCAATTTTCRCTCTGGATAAATGCAGGATGACCTCAGCGTAGCATGCGCTGCCCTTCAGTCTTTGCACCTTTTTAAAGCAGCATTTGCTTTAGAAACCAATCCAAAACAGATTGAGGAATTCGCACTAATGTTAAGACCACATTTAGAAAGAGCCTGCGGACTTGCCCACGGGAGGAAGCGTCATTCAGTACTTTTCTCTKGCTTGACCAAGCAGATAAGTGAGATTTTCAAACCTTTTAGACTGTTAGACCAGGGCGCTACAATTTGCACCCCATACTTTGATGGAAGCAGAGATAAGTCCAAAGCTCCATGCTTTTGAGAACCAGTCCCTATATATATATCCTATGATTCCTGCATTTGGCCACAGAAAATCAAGACCTTAAGAACTCTAATATGAGAAAYGCTCAACAGAGTCTGATCCCTACCTTGAAGTGTTAACCAGCATCACACTCCCGGATTTCTGCCCTTTCACTGTTTCTGGAATTAAGTAGCATTCAGTGTGAGTAAAGCAGTCAGGATCTGGCACTGGAACTTGCACTGGAACCAGAAGCTTTGAAGTTTCTGGTTCAGTTTCTCCTTATTCTCGTAAAGCTGAGGCTGGAGTCCCCATGCCGGCTGTGCAGGTTGCGCAGCCAGGTACATGCTCCACAGAAGGCATTTTGCTCATGCGCTTGACTCGGTGACCATTCTTTCTAAGAGGTTTGTGATAATAAATATAAATATGTGTCACTCATAATGTGATTATAATTCTATAGCAGTTTCCTCCAGGCTCAGCTACCCATTTTTTCCAAAAAAAAAAAAAAAATGAAGGCTGTTTGGCCCTCGTATCATCCCAAAGGAGGAGTGGGACGATAAGTACCCGCAGCTGGGCCCAAATGTGGGTTCTCCTAGGCTGCTCCCTGTATCCTGCCTAAACCCACTGTCTCAGGAGCTCTTTAGGCAAATGTTCATGGCCCACATCCCCTCGCACAAAGAGAGAATAAGAATTTGGATCTAAAATTAAGCTTCCTGAAAGGACGTCTGAATGTTTCCTTTCAGTCTGCACTGTGCCGTTATATCATAGGAGMCCGTGCTATTTAAAACATGCCTCTGGTTTTGATACCACCCTTTACCACACAAATCATCAGCTGCCTGAAAGCAAACACATGGCAGCGCACACAAAGAAGCCTTTCTTTCATCTCCTTGCATGAAAAAGAAGAAAAACGGCCCTCTTACAATGACATGAAAAGCTCGCGTGTTGCTGGCTGGTCTGACATCCTGAATTTTAGTTGCCTCCCTCGGCTTTTCCAAGCTCTGCGTTGTGTGCTCTGCATATCCGACCAGCGCGCCATCAAATACAGCCTCTGTTATTATAAGGAGAGCTTAAAAGCTGGGTTTAACAATCGATCTGCCTGTATTAGATGCCCACTATCCTGTCACTAAGAAAACATACTGCAGCGTGCGTGAAAACCGGTGTGCACCCAGAGTCTCATTAGTTCCATATGATAAGAGCCTCATGCTGCAGCAAGTTGTTGAAAGCTTTTTATATTTAGCTGTGGAATTTCGCTGGCTCCATCCTTTCACCAGATGCTGTGTGTTAATCCCCTGTTTACACCTCTAGGCTGACGTTGGGTAAGCCCCTTGGGGAAGGCTGCTTTGGGCAAGTTGTCATGGCTGAAGCGGTGGGAATCGACAAAGACAGGCCCAAAGAAGCAGTGACTGTGGCAGTGAAGATGTTGAAAGGTAAGAAAATTGGCTTATTAGGGCTCAAGATGGGTGATGTGTAGTTTTTTTACCCACAGAAAGTTTCTTTTGTGGCATCCCAGCTCTGTCATTGCGGGAGGGTCAAAGTGCACATAGTTGACCTCAGCCTTCAGTGGTCTGTAGTGTAAATCTGGCTCCCTGACAGCCTGTTTATCCTTAGTAGTGGGTATTTGCAAGCCAATAGAGGTATTAGAATTCCCTAGGTCTCCCTGCGTTTAGGTTTGTTCACAGCAGAGATTGTCAATGTCTAGATTCACTCTGTGCAGCCATTCACTCCAGGTGGTAGGTGCCTGTTTATTTTGAATTTAGCTATAAAGTTAACTTTTAGGAAAGGTATAGATGTGAATTGTTCAATTGTTTAATTGAACATCATTTGTCTCRTGCTAATGCGTTGCTTCAACATAGGATGTGACCAAAGACCTGGTTAGTCTATCAAAGAGACTTGGATTACTGTTATTAGGACATGTCATATGACTCTGTATACTATACCCTACATACTGGAAAGCAAATCCCATAGTCTGCATTTTGAAGCACACATGTTTTACACCAGCTGGTGATCCTTAAAATTCAAGCTGGAACACYGCAAAATATGAACTGAACTTGTCTCTTCTACAGATGATGCTACAGAAAAAGATCTATCCGACCTCGTGTCGGAGATGGAGATGATGAAGATGATCGGGAAGCACAAAAATATCATCAATCTCCTTGGAGCCTGTACCCAGGATGGTGAGTAGAGAGAAGAAAGTAAGCTAGGACTTTCAAATAGGTCTTTTAAAGTCTCATTAATCATCATTTTTCAGAACTTTTTAAGGAAACAGTCATGCTGTGATGGGATTTTTAGCTATTTCCCTAGCTTAGCAGCAATATTCGAACTTCTGTCTCTGATTATAAAGATGCATTGCAGCTTTAACATTAGAAAGGGTAGTATATTATGTTTCTCTAATCTCTTGATGTAATGAAAATAGAAATTTTACAGTGATTTTAGCTATGTTTGTCGTTCTGAATTGTCAGTCCTACCTTACTAAAACTTATATCCTTTAAACTTGAAGTGAACCATTTTGCTTTATATATACTACTATTTTGTTGTTGTTGTTTTTGTTTGTTTGCTTGTTTTGCACGTCTTATTTTGCCGTTTGCCATTGCAATGGCATTTCTGCATTGAAAATACTTGCTTCTCAGATGGTGGCATATTTTCTGGAAGGAGGACATGCTGGGTTAGAGTTTAGGTCCTTTCTTATTGCCAGCTGTAGCCCTGCCACTATCCTGCTATGTAGCTTTGGGCCAGTAGCTTAACAAAGTCTTGATCTCCTTTTCTTTCCAGTCATGCTTACTGATTTCACAGTAAATAAGCGAATGGCATTAAGAAATGTTTATAAAGCACCAAAAGGTTCTTGACTTAAAATGGTTTTAGCTTTTGACCTTATTCCACTTCTCACACGGTTCTGTTTCTCCAAAGGTCCGCTGTACGTGATAGTAGAATATGCTTCCAAAGGAAACCTGCGTGAGTACCTGCGAGCACGCCGCCCACCTGGCATGGAGTATTCATTTGACATTAACAGGGTTCCAGAAGAGCAGATGACATTCAAAGACTTAGTGTCTTGCACGTACCAGTTGGCAAGAGGCATGGAGTACTTGGCTTCACAAAAAGTAGGTAGAACTCGGCAAATATTGCACAAAGAACTTGGTACATATTTGCTTGGTACTTTTTTTTTAAGTTGAGGTTTGTTCTGTTATTTTTGTTTAAGAATGTGCTGAGAGAACAGCCTTTTCCCAACGAGTTGCATAATCCRTGCCCTTGAGAATCGGTGGGAAAACTCGTAAACAAAGTTTCATTCTTGGCCTTAACTTTGCCAGAATTGATCATTTGTCCTTGATATGAATATAAGTCTTCACTTTGAATTCATAGCACAGGTGGTCACTGGGTTACACAAACCACACTGCTGCACTCTCGAGACACAAAGGCACCATTTGCTTTCTGTTTCCTGACAAATCTACTGGCTCAGCTCACATAATGATGTAAAGTAAATTAATTCCGTTATGGGAAGGATCTGAGAAATGATAATAGAGTTGAGAAGATGACAAGATACCTGGGMAGAAACTGTGAATGGAAGAGGCAAAAATAAATGTAGTAAATAATTAGTCACTCTAATTATGTGCTTTACTTAAAACTGGTATTTGTCAGGAGTGCAAGCTTATTGAAAGAACTTATTTATTCTTTCATGTGCCTAGACACTTATTTCTTCAAATTTTCTTCAAACATTTCTTCAGCCAATCCCTTGGTTAAATTGTAATTATAGAATCCTAAATAGCTGTGTGTAACAAACTCTCTAAACATGTTGTGGCTGTAAGGAAGACAGTCATGGATACCCTGGGTGGTGTTTGGACAGTGTCTATGCCAGACCACTGGAGTTTGGTGCTAAGTTTCCTGCAAGGTGCTGAGTCAGTGGGGGAATTTGTAATGATTTCTGATTGTGTCCACTCCCAAGTATGGAGATATTTTTAATCGAAGAGGAGAGCTGAGTGTAAGCCTTTGGTCGTCCTGGTTTTTTATKGCTTAGCAGATGTATGCATGATATAAGGAGGAAATGGAATAAGCATGGGTATCGTATTAGGTACACCAAGGAGAATATCTAAGACTAATGAAGCASTGGCTTGTCAATTAGCCGTGTCCTAGGAAAAAAAGAAAAAATGATTGTGAAAGAAATCTTTYTGATTGGCAAATCTTGAGACCAAATGTCCACCTGAGAAGCTCTGAAATCCTGTCGTAGGGCACTGCCAAGAAGGTGTGTGCTCGTACAGATGAATACAGCAGAGGCAGTTCATCCTGATCCAGTCCTTTTCTAACAGCACTTGTTCAGTGCAGTGCTGAACTTGAACGTAGGACATTGCCTAACTCGAGGTGAAGATAAAGAGTAAAGCTGTGTTGTCTGGTTCCTCAGATAGCTCACAAGTTATGTTTGTATTTCACTATTTTTTCCTCCTTAGAGAGTCATTTACTGAACTGGAATAATAACAGGGCTGATCTTCTCATGGTATTTTCACCATCCAAAAGCTGAAACACTGAGAAGAGCACTTTCCTTGCTATTTCGATCCAATAAAGGCCTCGCTGAGACTTAAAGAAAAAATCACATTAAAATATAAATGCAAAGACAACCATCTCAGAACATAACTTTAATATGAGAAAGAAGAGTTTGGGTGCATSCTGCAATTTTTGTCCCTAAGGAAGTGGGCCATTGCAAATGGTACACTGCAAACAGGATACCATTTTTACATCGCATGGATGGCCAGCCCAGTGCAGAGCAGAAACTCTGTAGACTTGCTTTACCCAYGGATTAAGAGATCTCAGGGTTTCCAGGGCAGGTCACAACACAAGAGAGAGACTGGCTGTTATAAAAAAACTGTGGTTTGGTCCATCATGCCTGTGCACATGCTGAAGGAGGGAGAACACATAAAGTATAACCCAAAATGGCTTTTTTCCCACCAAAAGGGGGGGAAAAAAGGTTATCTAACCTGGAAAGAAGCAAGATATCTGGGGGAGATTCCCAAAGCGCCTTGTATGACTGTTAGGAAGTCTGCTTGAACATGGAAGCAGCATCCAGAGCAGCCACAACTCCCTTCCCATGTTGGGAATATCAGTTGCAAATGTCTAGGAGAACACAAAGAGAACATTCTGAGAGCATAACATTTTTAGTTTCATTGTCATCTCTGTTTAAAAAGCAAGCAGCAAGCCCAGACTTTTTTTTTTGTTTCAAAATTAAGCTGTTATAGTGCTATGATTGAAGTAAATAAACACGCCCTAGACATCTGCTTTAAAATTATGTATGGTAGATGTGTCTCATTTTAAAATCCCTCTTATTAAAAATGGTTGCAGTGATCCAGAATGTCAGGTTTTAGCTCTGTTGATCCAGTATAATTTGAGGAGCAACGTCATAAAGCTCTCATTAACAGTGTTTATAATGAAAATGCTGCAATACCTGTACCCAGGCAAGGAGAGTGAATCACAAACAGCTTGGAACATGCTGGTCACCACCCAAGCCCTCAGCAATAGCAAAATATAAGTCATTAAAAAAAAAATTTCAAACTTTTTTTTTAATGGGATTTTTCTTTTCTTTTCTTTTTTTTTTTTTTTTTTTCAGTGTATCCATCGAGACTTAGCTGCAAGAAATGTTTTGGTAACAGAAAACAATGTGATGAAAATCGCAGACTTTGGTTTAGCCAGAGACATCAACAACATAGACTATTATAAAAAGACTACTAATGTAAGTGGAAGGTTTTTGTATCTCTGGAAACAAGTGTTTCTTTCAGGGTTCACTTCAAAATTGTGATTGTAATCCTAATGGACTTCTTGCACAGCAGCCYAACTTTTAATCACAGAAAGAAAACAGGGATTAAGGACATAAGCATTTCTATCCCCTTTTACAGTAACGGTTAGTTCAAAAGATAACTAAGGAGACTATTTGTTGTATGATTTGTTATAAATTTTAAAGTGTTAAGTGTTTGTTGCATGTAGCTTTATGCATTTTGCCTGCATTTGGTTGTAAAGCAATTACTGCMGCAGTTTCAAATAGGTGCTGTGAGTTGAGAAAGCTGCTTTTTACCCCTCTGTCACCATTTAGCTCTATGAGCTGCACCAAATGAAGGAGGTGAAATGTTTGAAATGTAGGTGCTTCTTGGAGGTGCTTGGTTTGGAACACCTGAACAGCTCGTTCTCAGAGATCCTGGTTAATTACGTTTTTACAAAATATTAATTATCAATCATACTATGTGATTAATGGCATTTTAACGGAAACTGAATTGGCACACTTGCAAAAGGGCCGAGGAAGCAGGTGAAGGTGTGTGGGCGCTGAAGGGAGTTGATCCCGTCTCGTTTCCRACTTAGTGTGATTCCTGGGCTCGGAGCGGAGTTCTGTGCAAAGCCACAGGCATTTGGGACTGCACAAGCTTCAGGATGCTGCAAAAGGCTGAAGAGCAAAACAAAATTCTGGAGTGTAGAGACCAGCTTAATGCTGTGGGCAGGCCTGTTTTTCAGAGAATTATTGAAATTTTTGCTGTAAAACCGGAGTAGAGTGATCTTTTCCATGTTGATCTCCTCGCCTTGATGTCCTTCTAGAAGACAATCCGGGGGCTTCTGAGGGCTCTCTCTGTGCTTTTAATTCTATCTTAAATGTGTATATCCATTTTCCTTAATTGTCTGTAGCTGATTTTACTTTTTTTCCTTTAAATTTTAAAGATATATTAGCATTAGCAGACTGATTCCTGAGAGCTGATTAATCTTTTAAAAATTCAATGCTGAAATCAATCCATAAAACATCACGAATTAATTTTTCATTCCTCCTTTTCCCCTCCGTAGGGCCGGCTCCCTGTAAAGTGGATGGCTCCAGAAGCTCTGTTTGACAGAGTTTACACTCACCAAAGTGACGTGTAAGCAACTTTGAATATTTTGGGGAAGGGTGGKAAGGGAAATTCTTTTTATTTGGATTTCTTAAAGTTTGGGAGTGTCTTTAAATGTATTTTCTTGTCCTTTACCTTCAAGCGTTTTCATTCTGTGTTTCACATATTAATAGATGGAACAGGACATGCCCTTAGAAAGTGAGGATTTTATGGTAGACTGCTAACCAGTGCTCTGTTACTAATCTGCCCAGCTTCAAAGCACATGAAAGGTGGAAAACGCTAACCTCCTTCTGTCAGTGCGGAAGTTTTCCCCCCTTGAACTTATTTACGGATGTGCAGCTACAAAGAGTCTATCTAATTTGCTTGGCTTTTGGCGTATTCTGGACTTCCTTCAGGTTTAAGAAAGAAGGAAACAAAGGGAGAGAGAGGAGGGGGGGAAAAAAAGAGAGAAGAAAGACCCTGAAAATTCTCGTCTAAGTTTGTTCTAATATTGCTTACAGTAAAGCATAGAATGGGCTGACTAGGAAGGTTTTCTCTGAATTTAGAAATCTTGCTTCCCAGCAGTATTTTGCGTGTTAAGGGTAGGAAATCACTGGGCTCTGACATGTCAAAATCTTTYAATGTGTGTGCACGGTATAGCGTGGCTGATGCAACCTCTCAGGATTTATTCTGCTTCCTATTAAAGTTTCCTAGGCAAACGGACAGTGCTCGGATGCACTGTACTTTAAGGAGATGTGTTATTTTCTAATGCGATGCAGATGAAGATCCCATCTTATCTGTTTCTCCAAGCAAAGCTGTTAACTGTAAAGGGCTGGATGCTTCCCAGAGCAGGTGTAAAAGTTAATGTATGTCAGCGCAGGGTTGAAACAAAAAAGAAMAGATTGGAGAAAATAATAGAGGGTAACTCCGTTAGCCAGGGTGCTCTCTCCTTGGGAGCAGCAGTTACGTAGGCTTTTCCTGCAAACCTTTACATTTAAAAACAAACTCTATGCACAATTTAAGGGTAGATCACGCTTAATTTTTTAAAATAACATCTTCGGTGCAGAAACTTCRAGGCTCCTGTCCCCATGGTGGCTTTGCAGACTGCTAAAGATAATATTATTGTAAGTTGGTGCGTACAGCTTACCGTAAAGCTCGGGGAGCTGCGGAGACGCTCGGGAGGCAGGGCAAGGTTTGTGCTGTGGCTCACCTGGCAGCACAGCCTGCCAGGGAGCCGTCGTCTGCCAGCGAGACGGGACGAGGCAAGCTCCGGGATGGCAGGACGGGCTGCAAACTGTCCTCCTTTGTCTCCTGACAAAAAGCAGACTGATGCAAAATATTCTCATTTGCAAGAACCTTCTTTTTTTTTCCAAAATAGCCCAGCACATGATTGCAAACCCACTTAGCTGTGTGAATGTTCTGTGAATAATTAAATGGGGAAGTTGTAGTTCTTTGCAGTAGCTTTGCAAGTAGTTCTTTGGGCGCTCAGAGCACACGAGGCGAAGCCTATGGATGTGCCTGTGGTTGTGCCTGGGTCAGTGCCTGTTCAATGTGCTGCTTTTGCACCTGATGCACTTTGCATGTTGATGTCCCGCTTGGGTTAGTCAGACCTGCGCAGGAGCATGAAGATAAGTTTGACTCTCTTGGAGGCTGTAATTGGCAGCTGGTCTGGAGACAGTCTGGGACTAGATCCTGATGCGCTTCGTTCCTACTGAGTAAATCCACCAGAAGTGCTGCCTGTAAGAAAATAGGAGAGTGATCTGTCAAACCAACAGAATCTCACAGAATCACAAAATGATTAAGGTTGGAGGGGACCTCTAGAGATCATCTAGTCCAACCTTCCTGCTCCAACAGGGACACCCAGAGCACAGGGCACAGGGTGGCATCCAGGCAGGTTTGGGAGACCTCCAGAGAAGGAGGAAGTTGCAAGACACAACTTCTTGCATCTCTCCTGGAAGAGACTTGTTTTCAACATTAAAACACATTTAATACTGCAGTGTTTCCTTTTGTTCTGCAGATGGTCCTTTGGTGTATTAATGTGGGAGATCTTCACCTTAGGAGGATCACCCTACCCTGGAATTCCAGTGGAGGAACTTTTTAAGCTGCTTAAAGAAGGGCATCGAATGGATAAACCTGCCAACTGCACCAATGAACTGTAAGGATCCTTATTTACTGCACAGAGATCAAGGGAACCAAACCATGCTGAATTCACCCAATTGATGCTACCCCAGGCAGGCTCTAAAAATTTCAGTATCACACTGCTTTTGTACACAGCAAAATACATTGGGAAGCTTCTCCTTTGACACAACRTTATTTACCAGTGGCAATAAGAATGTTTTCAGATTCTGACATTTGAGTCTGACCCTTGACTCTTTCCCCATTTTAATTTCTTGCCTTTTCAAAGGCCATTGTCTCTACCATAACAAATGAAATGAAATACCATTGAAATTGCCAGCGTAGAAGAAAGCTATGGGCTCTCATCCACCAAACTGTGATTTAGAATCTGGGCAAGAAATGACCTAAGAATCGAAATGTGCCCATGACAGAAGTGAGGGTATTTCKTGGTTTACGGGACAACAGTTGGACCATGAGTAGGACAGTGGGGTGCTCACYGTGTTACTTCTCATCAATAGCAATGTCTCTGTATGAAAAGGTTTATGAGAACAACATTCAGTTTTAATTAACCCAAGGAAATGTTCATTTATTGCAGCTATATGATGATGAGGGATTGCTGGCATGCTGTGCCTTCACAGAGACCAACTTTTAAACAGTTGGTAGAAGACTTGGATCGAATTCTTACTCTCACAACTAATGAGGTAGGTCAATGGCTTCTCTTCATAGGCTGTAGATGAGGACATATGGCTCTGGAGACGGATGGAATTTATTCATTTACAAAGTATTGCTCTAGTTCTCTTGTTATTCTGTTTGTCACTACTGTCCTCCAAGGTTACACACAGCTAAACTATCTATCCTATGAAATCCAGGGTTTCTTGCCAGCATGCTTTGATTTTTCTTAACTAAACAGAAACACGTCTTTTAAATGTTTTTGTTTGTTTCTCTTTGCATCTTTTGATGTTTTCAGCATAGCATATAGAAGGAATACACGTGGCAGGTTGGGAGGCAGTGTTTATATTTTAACATGTGTTTTATGTGAGGGAGGGAACTGGAGTTCATGATGTTTTTCAATTATCGACTCCGTTTGATTCCCAGCTATGATATGTAGGTCAGAAGAGGAGTAATCACCAATGGCAGATTTCAGATCATATGCCTGAAAGTGAATTAGGTTCATGGAAATAACCCTCTGTGGAGGGAATGAGGACCCGCAGGGAATGTAGAAGCAGCCATCCAATTATCCAAAGGTCCTGCCTAACACTGCTTCAGGTTGGGATATATGCATGCAAAAAGGTTTTGATGTGAACAGAATGCTTTAGAGGTCTGAAATATTATTAATCTTAGCAAGGAACACACTGATTAGCATATTCACCTAGGGATCAGTTCTCTTACCAGTAAATCACAGGCACCTGTGAGGAAATTCACACAAGTAGTGGGGATTGTATTCCTTTTGGTAGAAATCTGTTTTGATAGAAAGCGCTTAGTGTYCCACAAGCATTTTGCAAATTCCAACTTGTTTTGAGAAATGATACATAAATAAAAAGAAAAAGCACCTAGAGAAAAATGTCAGAGTAACTTGTTTTGACCATTTTTAAAATTGAACTTTCTGATTTGATACAATTTTAGGACTTCTTTATKAGGACAAAAAGACTTGTGTGGTTCCTTTTGTGTGGATCCCCAACATTACCTCCTCATTTTTCAGAATTGTATGACAAATAAAAAAATCAGTTGTGAAGCAGCTTTAGGAAAGCTCGTGCGCAATAAAGATGAGGGGGAATCTAAATAAGTTATTTAGGATGATCATCTTGCCAGTAGGGTAGGCTAACCTTTCTGGTTGAAAAAGATCATTTGGCTTTGATAGGAGCTGTAATTTCTCTGGATTCTGTTTTTAAGGCTTATTCTGAAAAGTGGCACCTTCAAGAGTGGCTCAGAGATGACGCAGGAATATGTGCTCCCTACTGAGTCAGTAACATCACTTTATGTACTATTAACATTTTCCCCTCATCCAAGTACTGACTGGATCTTTTCCTGCCTAATTTATATATGATTTCACAAGACCAGTTGGAGGTGGGCTGGCTGCCACTGCCGAATGTTTGGTGGCTTGGGTTGGATATGAATTTGCACATTCAGGAGTGAGATTCTGGCCTACAACTTTAAGGATATTTCTTCCTTTTTTCTTTATTTTTTTTCCTTTTTTTTCTTTTTTATTCATTTTGCCTTCCCAATTCAGTATTGCTAATGGACCTGGAATGATCTCAAAGGTAATCTGAAAAGGCCTTTAGCATTATGTAAATTTCTTTAGATTGGAAAAAAAGGCTGGAAAAACCCTGGGAACTCAACTAGTCCATCCAATTGGTCTAGAGGAGGATCAGCTATATCTTTGTCTGACAGATGTTTACATAACATGTTCTTAAAGATCTCTGCTGTAGTTATCACCTCTCAACACCTCATTGCAGCATTTTATTAACATCACCTCTTGAAAGCTCCTCCTAATATCTAACCCTACTACCTAAGACTCTGCTTTTGTCTGGGTTTACCCAGGACATTGAGAGCAAATTAATTCACTCTTGTTCGCAGCACCTTGTATGTTCTTGAAGACCTGGTGTGTTCTTACTCGGTGTCTTAGGAGTGTTTCAGCTTGTCTCATTGCCCCCCATAGCTTGTGTTTTTGAGACCTCTGATTTGGTGTAATCCACACAGTTTCCCTGAAGTGCTTTGGTTTGACACTACTTCTGCTTATCCTCTCCATTCTGATAAAAGGGCAGCTGACATTAGGGTCAACCCAGGTTGACCCTAGCCCTGCAAATGGCCATGAGAGCCAGTAGAATCTCATTCTGCATTTGTGCAAGTGATTGTGAAGATTGTGTCCGGCTCTTGCCCTTCCCGAACCATCACCTGTTATTTCCAAAGCCCCAGCTGCCCGCGTGTCCCAGAGTATCACACAGTGTTGCCCAGAACAGCATGGGGTCTTTTTGCAGCAGTCACTGATGTATCAAAACGGAGAACCATCTTGATGCTGGAAGTAAGATATTTTACACCCCTTTTCATGATTCTGGTCCTTTATTTTGGATAAGGAGCCTGGACAAGATGTGAGGATCCTACCTTCAATCCTGATTTCAGAATTGCGTTATTGGAAAACTTTGACTAGCTGTGTCTGATAACTTCAGAAATTTAATCCATCTATTTGATAATTTCTGGTCGACAAATGTACCACACTCTGCTTCCTGCCAAGATCATCCCCACGGCTCCTTTACAAATCCATTCTGAAAATTAGGAGGTAATCATAGATGCAAACTGCATTGTACAACCTCTTTTGCTGAATACTGCATTTGTCAGCATTTTAAAGCTTACATTTCTCCTCCCTTTCTTAAAATGGTGATTTTTTTTAATCTATAGTATGCTAATATTTGAATTTCTGACTTAAGAAAATATGTTAACCAAAGAACTAAATTACCCCAAACCAAAGTGCAGCGGTATAAAATACTGACTGAGGTGGAAGACTCGTCTCGTCAGTATGATCATAACTTGTGGTTTAGCAAATGAAGAGATTGCATTTAAATGAATGCAGCTGCCCTTTAGAAGTTGAAAGAGAAGGAACATTTCAAGGGGGAAAAATAACTTTCTTCTCCTGCCAAAACTGTTGTTTCTAGCGAAAGAGCCATAACCCAAAGCTTGGATTCAGCAGATATTATTTCCTTTTCTAATGACTGCTTTGGTCATGGCTGCTCTGGCACATGCACAAACACACACGCATGTGTGCACTCACACACTCACACATGTATAGAAAAAAAATACAGTGAAAGAAATCCAAATATAGAAAAAAAATACAGTGAAAAAAATCCAGATCCAGTGAAGTTGATTTTTTTGCCTTCAGCTTTTTTTGCACATATGCCACTGCATGTTTAAACACAGATTTAATATCACACAATATAAAACAGATATTCAAACTGACCAAAGGAATATAAAATTGGAAGTATCTATCCATCTCCAAATCATTACCATATGCTAAAGAAAAATGGTTCTATTTAGGCTGCAAWTTCATTTTTATCATTGCAAGTAAAAAATCCTCTTCTGATGTGGTTGGCATGTTTATTTCTAATGACACAGCTAATGCTGATGATGTTAGACTTCACAAAAATATGGTGTTACTGGTTTCTTTTTCTCCATTTATTCAAGCCCTTTTATTTAAGGTCCTTGAGCATTCCTTGTTTTATCAGATATTTAAGCACCAGACRGTTTTGTGTGCACTAAAATTACAGAACTGAATGTCAGTTTTTACCTGTTTTTTGCCCGCTGTATGACCAAGCCAAATCAGAGCAGTGGAAATATTGTGAGTTTTACATGGTATTTTAAAATGCAATTTATGTCTTTTTGTTACAGGAGTATCTAGACCTCAGTGGACCTCTTGAACAGTATTCACCTAGTTACCCTGATACTAGGAGTTCATGTTCTTCAGGTGATGACTCTGTTTTTTCTCCTGATCCAATGCCTTATGAACCTTGTCTTCCCAAGTACCAACATATGAATGGCAGYGTTAAAACATGAGAAGAAATCATTTTAATGTATAGAGGAATAAAGAAACAAGAACATCAAGCTACCTACCATATACAAAACACAAAATCTTGTCTCCAGGACCTTAATGTTTTGCTTGTACATATGAAATATGAAAAAGAAGAAGAAATAAAGGAAAACTTGGAGGAAAACAGACAGRACCTACATAAAGGATTATATAATTTTCAACTTCTAAATACTCCCAACAAAGAATGTTCATGAGCTGTGTCTAGATATCCATCACTATCAATTTTCTGGCTCACTGTAAGCTGCGAGAGACTTTGTACAATGGACCAGTTGGACTTGAGGCAAACTCTGGGTCTGCCTTTCTTGTTTATTTTGTAATATTTGGAGAAAATATATGTTGGCACACACTTACAGAGCACAAATGCAGTATATAGGTGCTGGATGTATGTAAATATATTCAGAATATGTATAAATATATATATTATATATTTACAATGAATTATTTTTTGTATTGATTTAAAAATGGATGTCCCAATCCACCTAGCAAATTAGTCTCTTTTTTAACAGCTATTTGCTAAATGCTGTTCTTACACAGAATTCTTAATTTTCGCCATCCAAAGGTGGAAAATACTTTTGCTTTCAGGGAAAATGGTATATCGTTAATTTATTAACTAATTGGTAATGTACAAAGCAATTAATCGTTTATAGGGTTGTTGTGTTTTTGTAATTTAAATGGCATTTCTATGCAGGCAGCACAGAGAACTAGTAGATATATTGCTTGGACTTTACTAGTTTTCAGATCTTTAAAGAAAGAAATATTTACAGTATATAACTAATTTGGGGGAATTAAACTTTTTGATTTATTTGTGTTTCAAAAACCTTGGTGTCAGATGCTTGTTCTTATGAAACTCAAATCCTTTAACAAGAAAGTCTTTTATTCTGCATACCTGTCACTTTAACAATTTAACGCTTTAGCAACGTTTCTCAGAGCCAAAAGGCACAAAACAAGGACAAAAAAAACCCCACAAACAAAACAAAACTCTTGTAAATGGATTCCTAAAGTAAGGAAAGAAATTAATTTGGCTCTAAGCATAGCAAAATGCAGCAGTCTAAGAGGAGCTGAGCTTCTACTCTGCATTGCACATGCATCAAATTAACTAGAATTCTCTTCCCTGAGTTTGATAATATGTTCCAGATCTTTTGGCCTAGCAATCGCCTTTTATAATATCCCTATTGTAACTTAAGTTAGAAAGAGAGAAGTTGTTATCATGACAGTTTGACGTAGGAATATCAGCATCTTTTTAAGGGATTAATTCATGGTGACGCCAATATTTCCTTCTGATCCATTCCAGAACAGCAGATACAGCACTGGCCTCTGCTAAAATGTCACGTTATTTGTATCTTTTTACAGAGTCTTGTGTTTTTGCTTTCAGAATGCTCTCTAACTCTGATACGGCCATGCAGTATGAATGCAAATTACACTGTTTTATGTGCTTTTTTAAAAAAAAWTGGGTAAAAAGTATTAAAAATCTGTTAACTTTTGTACTGACAATAAAATGTTTCTACAGATATTAATGTTAAAATTACAAAATAAATGTCATGCAGCTTATTTTTCCTAATCCTTTGTGTCATACAAAATGGTTTCCTGGACTTCAAGGGATGGAACGCATCCAAAAATGCTTCCTTTTGGCTTTATCACAGATCCCATATTACCAGTCTGTTCTTTCAGGRATGCTAGTCTTGCCTCCGTCTTATTAAAAGCCTCCTCATGAGTGATACTGCTTGTTTGAGTAAACATACATACAAACATTAGTGTGTGCAGGGCTGAGACACAAGCCTGCTGGAAAATGGTTTGAATGGTTTGAAGTGGTCACAATATCAATATATATTTCCTCTTTCAATGCAGTCAGGCTCTATCCTCTAGTCAGCGACTTCATATTCATATCGAGGATGTAACTGTACCATTTGTGTAGGAGATTAAAAGAAGAGCATCACAGATGGAAAAACAGTAGTCATAGAAGGATTTCTTTAAAAAAATGTATCTTTTTTTACTTGAAAATAACAAAAAGAAATACACAACAGAATAACTTCTGTTTGAGACTGAAAGGAGAACTTTATGGTCACATTATTCTTCCAAATTACCTAGGAAAGGTAAAATTACCTGTCTAACCTCGTTTTTACCACATCCTATATAAGTGCTCAAGCCACAAAACTATGGTGGTTTTTCTTCTTCTTCTTTTTTTTTTTTTTTTTTATGTATTTATTTTATTTTTCCTGATTTGACCAGAAATCCCATGCCAATCCCAAGAAACTTCCTAAAGTGCTGGTGAAAGACTATTTTTTTCCAGCATTATCTGGAATATTAATTATTTTTTCCCATACATTATCTGATTGCAAAATCCCCAATGGTTTTACTTAAAAAAAACTAAAAAATTTCTTCCCCAAGACTATTAGCAGCAACAGTAGCTGCTGTCTGCCTGAAACCGCAAAGTTCTTGATGAGACACTTCTGTTTTGAAGATGCACTTGAAGGGTATCAAAAGATCTTGGGTCTTGTTCTKCTCAGATTGAAGCGTGTTCAAAAACCCTTCCCTACTTCCACGTCTTTTTAAAGCAAAAATGTGTAAAGTGTGTAAAGGCTCAGAAATGTCATGGAAAAGGAGCTATTAAAAAATGTAAAATAATGGGGTTATCCAGCCTTTGTTCCCCACAGTTTATTTGTCTGTGCTTTGTTCATTTTTGTTTTAGCCCAGCTCAAGGAGTCATACCTTGGAGGTAAACCACAACTTCACAAGTGTTGGCTGAAGAACAGAATCCTGCTCTCCTATTTTTATAGTGCAGTTTGTGGGTTAAGCTTTTATTCTTTCCTGCTATCTGAAGAATTTTGGTTCCATTGCCTGCTGATTAATTTCCTCCTTTGAACACAGGGGTTCTTGGCCGGAGCACAGCAGCAGCTTCTGTGGGAGAAGCAGAAATTCTCCGCCCTTGTAGTTGCTAGAGAAAATAAAGATCGGAGACTTTCCTGCCCCTTTCATGAGACGAAGGGGTCCGGAATTTGGATTGTTATCTCATCTGAAAGTAATGATGCCATTAACATGTTGCATTAATTTTGCACTAATGAAGAGTAGTGTTACATCAGGAAATGACCTTATATTGACATAGATAGTGAGGCTTATATCCTATATGTGATCAATCTAGCCTGTAGTTGTCTCTTGTTTTCTATTTATTTATTCAAATTAACCTTGCATTGCATATGAGAAAATAGGAGTGTAGAAAAAAAAAGGCTTATGGTGGGCTAAATCTTATCATTTTATCCATTGATCTGATATAATTCAATAACTGTTTTGTTGTGTTTTTATGAAAGAGGTGACTTTTGAATTTCAAAGTTGTCAAAAGACAAAAATATTTACTGTTTTATTTTCAGAAACRACACGAGCAAAACTGAGTAGACAATCTAGTAATTTTCTTGTCCATCTGTGAAAGTGAAAGGCTCTGCAGAGAAGATGACCACAAAAATCTGAGATCTGAATCTTTTTACTGAGACATTCAATGATATCAATGTAATTGGATCATCCAAGAGAAACGTTGAGTTGTCTTGAAGAGGGGATAGGCTGTTGGAATAAAATACCTCCTAACAAAGTCCACGATGGGAAAGCTCCTTCTGCTAAGGTCATTTGTGGCAAGTTTTGCAGTTTTGAATAACCCGAGAAATTTCAATTAGTTGCACTAAGAGGCTGCTCAGATCAGTGTGTGACTATTTTATTTGTCACTGTTAAGGAAATCTAAAGACCTCTTGGAGAAGAAGCCCTTCAGCAGAACTTCCAGAAATCCTCATATGCTTTTGTTTTACTTGGATGTTTTTAAGTAGCCTTAAGGAAGAAAGAAAAAAGTTGAGGAAAAAAAGTCACTATTCATACAAGAAAAAAAAAAGGCAAGCAAGATGGGTTTTTTAGAAGGTCATCTGTGAGTTCTGCTGGCAGGAGGTTGTATATCTGCATCTTTTTATCCAATTATTATAAGTATATTTAATTGGATTTCTACTGTTAATGTAATATTTTTCTTGTGATGGAATATAAGGCTTAAGTTTCCATCAACAATTTGTTCTATGAAAGATTATCAACCCTGCCACATCCTTAAATATGTATGAATGCTTCTGAGCTTTTATTATCATGATTAACACAACTAAGCTGAATGTTACACAGACTGTGGAGTGAATTTTTTAAAAATCTGTTACCTATGCAAAATTCCTTTTATTGAACCCTATTTTCCATAAAAACCTGATCACAGGATTTTGGGGCCTGCAAAGATAGTAGAGGTGAAATGGAGGAACTTTCTTCACAAGGATCAATGGTGACAGGGCCGGGTGTAACAGGCACAAAGTTCAGGATTTTTTTTCCTGGATAGAATTAAAATAAATCTTCCCTGTGAGARCAGTGTAACAATGGAATAAGTTACCTGGAGAAGTGGTAGAATCCCTCTTGCTGGAAATATTCCAGTCTTGGCTTGACACGGCTCTGGATAACCTGATCTAAGGCCTTGCTTTCAACAGAAGGTTGGCCAAGATGRTCTCCAGGTCTCCTTCCAATCAAGACCTTTCAATGAGTCTGCAAATCTGTGTTATTGGCATAGTATAGCCTAGGTATGTAGAGGAGCTCTGGAAAGCTGTGCTAACTCGTGTTAAATTTGCCAGTGGCATGTATTGCATAGCAAATTTAGTTTAGTGATATGTTTAACAGGAATGGGTTTCCCCTGTTTTAAGGCACACAGGTTTAAAGATTCAGGTCTTGGCTTGCTTCGGATGATTACAGCAGGCCAAAAATTTCCTGACTGAGCTCCCATGYGGGGAAAACAGAGTTTTGTCAAAAGCTTTCTGAAATGCAAGTGTCTGGCAGAAGATGGAGAGGTGTTTTGACTTTATYAGAATGATATGATCCTGTTAGAATGACCTTTTCAGAAAGAAATGAAATCACTTTATGTTGAAATGCATTTCATACRTTGCAGATGACTAAATATATGAAGTTAGAGTGGAGTATTTTGGATTTTATTAAAGAGGAATGGTTTGACTAACTCAAAGTGACACCCAAGTTCTGCAAATAATTTGTCTTTGAAAACCTTTTATTTCCAGTTCTGACTGATAATCAGGGTTTTTTTCCCCCAAATATCACAATTTCCTAAGGAATACAGTGCTAAGTATCAACAAGGTCTAATGATTTTTATATTTCTTGGAGATTTCATTGTTACTTTGGACAACCCTTTTCCCGATGCACTGCTGGGACACAAAACACACATTTGTCCCCTGCAACCAGCATGTCACCAGTGAGTCTCAGTGGCTCTTGAGAAGCTCGTGAGGAGTCTGTACCCTGCATTAATCAGCTCTGCCTTTGAAAGAGTGACTTACGGGACAAGCTTTTTCCAAAGGCTCTGAGGATTTCAAGGGAGGACTCGTATTTCTTGAGGCAAAAGGCAACACATCTCTCCTGCCATGGCCTTGGGCCTTGGAGTTGTCTGAGGCAGTAGGAAGGGAACGGGAATCACAAAGGCAAATGGAAGCCCTGGTATCACTGCTGTCTGCAGAAATCTATGGGCTATTATATTGGAACCAAAGGGAAAAAAAACTTCTGGAAAAAAAAATACTACCAAAGACTACGTTAAAGACGTCTCGGAGGAGAAGGTAGCCGAGGTACAATATTTCGTCTAGACATGTTTCCCTGGCACAGCTATAATTTTTTTTAGGTCTATTCAGCAACATGCGGTACTTTTTTTTTCTAAAACTTTGTTGCCACCGAGATGTACAAACTGACAGCTAAATATTTCTCTCCCACTAAATTCAATGCAATGAGGGATCTGATGTGGGATTGTTTGTGTGTTCAGAATCCTGAGTGAGATCCCTGTCTGAAAAGCACGGATATAAGGTTGCTGGAAGAAATGGAGTTGCATTTTCTTACATTATCCCTAAATTTCAAGTATTTAGTCCTAACTGTCAATAGCACATAGCTGCTTTCTTCCACAGGGAGCAAAATTTGCTCACATAAAATGTATTTAGCAATTTCTGTTAAATTTGCTCAAACTTTTAGTAACAGATTTCTCGTCTAGAGTGGCCTCTTCCTCCCAGCAGAATTACAAGGAGGTACTGCTGTTGTTTTTGGAGAGAAGATATAGCCATAGTATGCAGTTACCACCTATGCAAAACCAGCTCAGAGATGAGAAATGTTCTCAGTGCAAAGCTCATATTCACGGTGCAGAAGATGCATGCAAAGGACTTCAGCTAAAAGGAGAGTGATCTGCCAAAAGTGGATAGTCTGCTAGGAGAAAAGAGGTGAGAGAAGACAACATGCAA